ACATCTCCTCATTTTCATACAATATTACAAAAAATGCTTTCTTAAAATAATATCCCTCCCCACCGGATAAAACTGCTAGTGAACCGCTCTTTATCCTTGTCAGGGTAGTCAGAATCATCACTCTTAACCAGAAAGCACAATGGAAGTATACCTGTTTATCTGAACCTTCTGTTATTATATATTATATATATTTGGGGGCCTGAATGAGCCCATGCCATCTTGACTGTTTTAAGTAAGCAATTACGCAGCCCTGTCTTGGTATTTGGTCTTGAAGAAAAGTAAAAATTGATTCTTTAAGAAATACTACAGAGGCCAAAGATCTCACCAGAGGAGGTTTTACTAGTTGACAGGTTAAATTTTCAGGATAAACTTAGAGATATTTAAAGGTAAGGGAATTTGAATGTTCATTTATAAGATTGGAGATAATGCCAAGCCCTTGGGTCATTAGATAGGTGTTCTGTGAAAACTGAACTGATTGCCTTAACTGTGGCTGGCTGACATCCAGCATAATATATATTTTGAAAAGAATAGTTTAACATGTTGGGGCGCCTGGGTGGCTCAGTCGTTAAGTATCTGCCTTCGGCTCGGGTTATGATCCCAGGGTCCTGGGATCAAGCCCTGCATTGGGCTCCCTGCTCCGCGGGAAGCCTGCTTCTCCCTCTCCCATTCTCCCTGTTTGTGTTCCCTCTCTCGCTGTGTCTCTCTCTGTCAAATAAATAAATAAAAATCTTTAAAAAAAAAAAAAGAATAGTTTAACATGTTTTGTTTTTGGAGTGAATTTTTCCAGTGGCCTTTATAACAATATTTTCTTTCATATAAGGTTATCTAATTATTGGTTCCTCTCCCTCTCCTTGCATTTTCTCACAGGAACCATCCCCCTACGCCACCCCACCCTCACCTTCTGCTGTCTGGGACAGGAGTTTATTTTCCTGGGTGTTCAAGAAAAAACTTTATACAAGTTGTGGCTATAAAGTGATCAGACTGATCCTAAAAGAGGTGTCTGAAACTCCAGCTGAGTCTTTGAGCCTCTCCTCAAATGAAAAGAGTTGAGGTCTTGTATAAAGGAAGGGCATGCTGGGGGATGAGACACACGTTTACATAGGCCAACTGAAGCTACATGTTTCTGGAGGTATGAGTTCTTTCAATGTTTAAATCTTTGCAACAGTGATGAGCAAAATAAAATGAAAACCTAGACTATGAAAAAAATTAATACTATTAGATTAAAACAAACCCAGGAAGAATGTTTATTGGTTGTAAATAAACGACTTAAACCTGAGATTAGTTGATGGATATGTTAGGTTCAAGCACAAGCTGGTAATTTCCTAGCTCCATATATTTTAGATGAAGGTTCCTGTAAAGATTGCATCATTAGGATACTCTTAATTCAATTCAGGCTATATTTATGGATACGCTTACATTAAGATAAAAGCCTTGTGCCCATCCATTTCACACTGTAAACTATAATTTCCATTTCACTTCCCGTGCAGTAACTACCAGAGTACTGCACTTAGCACGCATCCTGTTGACACAGAAGAAATATTTCTTTTCAAAATTTGTTTAAAGGAAACAGAAAACTGTATAGAAAGGGGGCCTATTTTTCCACAAAATGAAAACTAGGGGAAGACCAAGTTAGAGAATATAATATATTCTTCTCATCCTCTCTAGGTACCTCAGTATTGTTGAGCTCAGGGAAAAAGTACTGCCCCCCACCCTAGCACCCTACTCCCCTCCCACCTCCCCATGAAAAACCAGAAGTGTTCCACTCAGGGCTTCAGTCTATTGACAAGGGTTTTCTTGGGCCTGTGAGAAAATGAAAGGTTTATCATGGAAAAGACAAACAAACAAACAACAACAAAAAACCTGTTTTCTAAAAACGGAAGAAATTTTGTGGCGGATAGGACTCAAAATCTGGACCTGGTTGTAAGGACTGTCTCCTCTCATACCTCCACACCAGGAAGACAAGTCAAAGTTTGTGGACCTCGGTGACTTTGCAGAAGAAATCCCTGGGCTAGATACAAAGTTCCAAACCACTTGAGTACTCTGGTTTTTCTACTTTTTTGCCTTTCTGGTATGTATCAAAAATTCCATCTTTCTTCCCAGTCACTCCCAATCTTATTTACTCCATGTGACTTTGGGCAAGTAATTTTATGTCTGAAAATACTTTCTCATCTCTAAAATAAAAATAAGGTAATCAAGAATCTCTATACCTCTAGTATAATAGGATTCTATCCCAGACTGTCTTAACCTTAATACCTAAAATGACTGTGCAACATTTTAGCTTCTGTTCAATTTCTTCCAAAAAATTGTCTAACGTTGACAAAGTTCCCTTAGCTCTCCCTCCCACCCCCTTTATTTTTAAATTTTAAAAAATTTTTAATTTTTAAAATAATGTCTACCCCCAACATGAGGCTTGAATTCATGACCCCAAGATCAAGAGTCACATGACTGGGGCACCTGGGTAGCTCATTTAAATGTCTGCCTTTGGCTCAAGTCATGATGCCAGGGTCCTGGGATAGATCCAGGCCCTTGAAAGGTTCCCTGCTCAGTGAGGAGCCTGCTTCTCCCTCTCCCTCTGGCCCCCCCAACCCCGCCCCGCCTGCTCACACATGTGCGCATGTGTGTGTGTGCGCTCGCTCTCTCTCAAATAAATAAATATGTTAAAAAGTAAAAGTTGCATGATCTACCAAATGAGCCAGCCAGGCACCCTCCCAACACCTTTAAAATCAAATCACTATAGTGCTCAAAATCTACAATTGCTCCTTTTGCAATACATCGTTAATTCCAAAAAAATTTTCAAAATCATTTTTAATTTGTTCCTTTGCTGCATAACACCCTTTTCCCAACTATAGCATATTACATCCATCTTCTACATGATTTCCTCTTTGCAAGGTCATTTTCAGTCTCCTTATTCAACTAAATCCCTCTTCCCCACAACTCACCAAATTACTCTGGCCTTTCACTTACCCACTGTCCTTGGAAGTTCCTCAGCATGAGATCAATGGTACCAGGCTCTTTAGTAGTCTACTTTGTACTGTCATGTAATTGTTGCATGTTTATTCTTCTCTCCAAACATAGTGGAGGCTTTCAGTCAACAAAAATTTTATCTTAAAAATCTGTATGCTCCCCCAATATCTTTAGACAACATCAAGCATTTGCAAAACTTATCTGAACATTGTATTTTTTCCGTAATGTAAGCCAAACCTCTATCAACAGCAGTTAGAGTAAGCATTTTGTTTTTTGATTCATTCAAGTGGTTACTTTTTTTTAATGGAAGCATGTTATATTGTGACAAATATTCCAAGTAAAGTATTTTGTTATGAGGCACTCTTATTTATGAATTAAGCTATAATAATCTGATTCTAAATGTTATAAAAATGCTAATTTTAATATCATTATTTATAATATATATTATGTATATATATTATAAAAATATAATATGAAAATATTTAAAATATAACAGTATTAGTCACTCACTGCAAGTGTTGTAGATTTTGGAGTTATTCCCACACTCCCAGTTATTACACAACTGTGTAAGTCATGGTTATTCTGAACTTTACCTCATTCCCAGCCTTCTACAGTTGCATAGGATGGTTGAGACCTTCATACAGCAAATCAAGGTCAAACTAAGATATGGTCTGATGCTCTCTAGGGAGATGTTCTGAAGAGAGATGAAGAACAATGGAGATGGTGAGCCTTAGTCACTCAGAATATTGAATGTGACTTGACAAAACCTACACCTCAGGGTAGTGCTTTCCCTGGGAACCTAATGAACTCATCCCACCACCTTGTGGAAGTGGCTGATAAAATTCTAGGGCAGCAGGTTTACGTGGTAAGTTCTTTAATTAGGTAACTCTTTTTTTCTTAAAATTTGCTGAGTACGTGACTAAAAGAGTGATTATCTTCTGGTTAGTACCCTGTAAAGATCTATAGCATTCTGGAGAAAGCTCAAAGACAGCCAGCTATGCACCAAAGAACAGACCGATGGCTACCAATTATCACAGTTATTTAGCACAAGTATAAACTACATTATCTTGTAGGAAAAAGTTATTTAATAGGAGCAACAAGTAGAGGATGCAAGCCTACAAGCAAAGCATTTGTATGTCTAGATAAAAACGACAGTGAAAGGATCATGGTCAAAATATCAGTGACCTTGGAAATAGGAAAGATTCCTCATGAATCCTCCTTTTGGTAACCTGAAATCATTTGAGCAATACTTCCTAACACATAGCACATATCAGGCACTGTGCTAAGCTCCTTATAGGTGTTAATTTTTACAGTAACTCTAAGACAGGCACTGTTAAATGTTCTTATTTCACAAATCAAAAAAATGATGTTAGACAAGCTACAGAAAGCAACTGACGTTTGGGAAGTGGTAGAACCAGGATTTACATTTGGAACTCCCAGACTCAAGTGTTTTATTAGCAAAGTACACGCTTTGACTACATTAGTAGTACACTTATATTTTGTTTTTGCTCATTATTCACTATGGATGTTTTAAAACATGAGGGTTACATGCTGTCTGATAGGGCAAACTGACTTCTAATTGATGGCTACTCAAAAACATCTTTTAGAAATTGCTGTGATTAGACACTGAGTAATTTGTTTAGATTTGTGCATTTGACTGATTTGTTCTGAAAACCACAGGAAATCTATTAAGAATAAGAACTATGTTTATTTGCCTTCAAAGTTCCTTAAGTAGCAGCATGTTTTTTATGTAGTAGGTACCAAAAGTAGACTCATCAACTCAGTAAAATTGAGGATGAAGTCATATAGTTTTATTCCCAGTTTACCTTTGACATTCCAAATATGTATTATAAGATACATATTCTGTGGTTCTATTAAGCTGTCTCCAATACCATTTTATGCTATTAAAATGCTTTAAAGTAGATTTATTTAGTAAATGCTTTAAAGACACATCTAAAATTCAAAGCTAGGTAAACACTTCCCAAATTAGTATAAGTTTATTTTCAGGGGAATTGAATTAGATATTTTCTTGCATCTCCATTATTAAAGGTAATTTATTAGATGATAGGTCTTGCAAACAGTAGAATGAATTTTACAAAGGTGAGAGGGAATCTGCGGTCTTTATCATTCTTGGAAATAAATCTGGTTTTTTTTTTGGTAGATCATTATCACGGATGCAAATAATTTTAGGACATTCTGTCTGGTGACCGTGGAGTGACTGCCATCTAGTGGCCATTTTCCACCATAGGTGATGCTCCTTTTGGCCCATTGGGCAATGCCGAGGGGACGAATTCATCATCAGGTACATACACACTTTGGCACCCATCTTCACATCTCACTGGATTACACAGTCTTTGAGGGAGGAACCATGTCTTACATATTTTCTTTCTTTCCTGTACTAAAGTATTTGTTACTATCGAAGTGAAAACATGTTCTGGACCCACCCAGCTAAGAGAATTAAGAGATAAGTTTTCATTCCTCATCAATTCTACCTCCTCACACCCCTAACTCTTCTACTTCTGCTCAGGCCTGCATAAAAACTGGCAAATGTGGAAACTGGTGAGACCATAGCAACTTTCTGTTCCCATGACCGCATTACCAATTTAAAAAGCAGAAAATAAAATTATGCATTAGTGGCTGACCCTTAATACTGGAAACTAAAAAAACAGATGACAGTAGATTCTTTCAATGGTTAAATAGAATGCAACCAAATCGTTAGAAAAGCAGAAAGATAAACATTACAATTATCATTCTAATAGCTACACTTTAAGGAATGTTTATGAAGTGCTGGGCGTTGTTCTAAGTGCTTTCTGTGCATTAACTTATGTAGTCCTCAAAACAACCCTACAATGTAGTTAGAACAAAAAGCAAAAAAACAGTGGTATTTTTTTTAAATACCCAAATATTTCTAAAAAAGATTATTTTGAAAAACAGATTTTAGCGGATTCACCAGTCACCTAAAATACTTGGGAGAATTAGATTGCTTTAGCAGAATACTATAATTATTCTTTGGAAGATGTACCAAATGAGTCAAATTAACAGATGAAAGAGAGTTTATTTATCTATTTATATATCTGTCTTGGTCTAGAAAAGACTAGGGGTGGCTTAAAAAGGGATTATAGTAACTTTTTGGAAAATGTTCAAGATCTTAAATATATTACTCTCCCCAAAAGTTGGCTGCTTCCAAGCTTGATTTAATATTTTGCATGTTCTCTCTCCGTTGTTTCGTAAATATATTTGCTTCTCCTTTTTGCAATCGACGTCTGACAGCTGATTTTTGCTGTTTTGTCAACTGACGTTTCACCTTCTGCTTCACCATTTCCTGGAAAGATTTCATGAATCAGTATTACTGATAATTGACCATTTTGATAAGGAGTAAATATTCAATAAAACAAAGATTTACATTGCTAATATTTTTTCAAATTTGTTAAGAGCATGAATTTCTTAAATTAAAAACACTGACAGTACTATGTGAACCAGCAATAAAATAAACACCAAACTAATGGTTACAAAATAGGAGAAAATAAATTCCTAACAGAAATATAGATTTTATAGCAAAAAGTACTACACAATTCTTTGAATAACAAATCGCCATAGTGCCACCTAGTGTCCATCAGGAAAACTGAAAACAAAAACCCCAAACCAAAAAACCCAAGATAAAAACTGCTTGTTGCTCTGCTTTCAAGATAAAAGTAGACATGGCTTTGTAGTAGAGAATTATGTTTAAAAGCATTCACAACTGGTCAAAATGTATCCAAGAGTGGGGCGCCTAGGTGGCTCAGCTGGTTAAGCATCTGCCTTCGGCTCAGGTCATGATCTTAGGGTCTTTGCATCGAGCCCCACATGGGGTTGCCTGCTCATCAGGGAGCCTGCTCCTCCCTCCCACTGTGCTCTCACTCACTATCTTTCTCTCTCTCAAATAAATAAATAAAATCTTTACAAAAAAATGTATCCAAGAGTGCCTTCATAACTTCAGGTGTAGAGATGATCTGATGGCAGCAGTTACATGGAAAAGTCTTTATACAATTTCTGGAGATGTAGAATGCTTTCTCAGTATAAATTCAAATTATTCTTATTAAGAGCCAGGCTGCCAATGTCACTTACAAGATGAATAAAAAGTTTGAATATTCTGTTCCTAATAACCTTTTCTTCATCTGAAGCACTACAGCCTGATATTTAATTGTATATAACCTTGTATCATCCAACTTATTTCCTAAAAACAAGGTAAACACTGCAAAGGTTGAACCAAGGGTCTCTTTTTTTTTCAAGATTTTATTTATTTGACAGAGACACAGCGAGAGAGGGAACACAAGCAGGGGGAGTGGGAGAGGGAGAAGCAGGCTGCCCGCCGAGCAGGGAGCCCGATGTGGGGCTCGATCCCAGGACCCTGGGATCATGACCTGAGCCGAAGGCAGATGCCTAACGACTGAGCCACCCAGGCGCCCTGAACCAAGGGTCTCTTGTTAATATGCCCCACCCTATGCTAGGCACAAAGAAGCATTTATTAAAAACCTGTCAAGTTAAAAAATTAAAGAATAACGGATCTGAGGTAAAAAGGGGCTAGAAGAATTAGTCTGCCTATCACACTGTTTCTTGGGTTGTATATGTGTACTATAAAACTTTGGTCCAGGTAAGTTAAATGGAGACTTTGCATCATTTAACACAGTTAAGGAAACTACATTCAATTAACAGGTTTTAAAAAGTTTTCCTTCTTAATTTTAGTCTTAATGATTCTCAATGGGAAAAAAGGTAAGAGAACAGAGAGTGGAAACAGATGGAAGAATCAGAATTCAAGTCCCTGCAGAGGCTGATACCCCATGAGATGTAGTCACCCAAACCCAGTAAAGGCAGGAGACTTAGAAGGAACTGGTATCCCAGAAGTTTCAGAACTGAAAGCTCTAGGATTGGCTGAAAGTTTAGAATAAATGTAATTGGCCCCCAGGACTCTTCCCTACCCTAGGAAGACCAGCAAAACTATCATAGTCTCCTCACCCCAACGGAAGACCAAAATTCTGAATTAGAAAAGCACATCTTCTTAACTAAAACAAAGACAAAAAAGCAATACTTTCAGAATTCTGAAGGAAAATTATTTCCAAACCACAACTCGAACACTTAAACTCCCAATCAAGTGTGAGAACAGGTTAAGACATTTTTAGAAATAAATAAGTACTGACCCTCCCATTCACTCATATAATTACTGGAATCTGTATGGCCAAGTAAAGACGTAAACTAGGTAAGAGAAAGAGATGGAACTAGGAAAGAAGGCAACAATAAACAGGAGAGGAAAAGTCCCAGGAAGACAACAGTAGAACGTGCACCACAGAGGCCTCTAGAATGCTGCCAAGAAAAAAATTAATTATTTTCTAAATGTTCTGCTTGATAATCATACCAAGAAGCTGGAGAAAATAAGGAGACAACAGATTACTATGCATGCACCTCCTCCTAATCCAGAACAATTTATGAATCCTACAAGGTTAATTTTTTCATGTTAAAATAAGAGGGAGAAAAATCTCGTTTAGTATATATTTCTTAAAATGATGAAACACGAAATAAAATACTTGTGATTATTACAGTACATAAAAAAATTAACAAAAATCATGCATTTTGTTGATTCCATTGTTGTTTTTGTTGACATGTACATTTATTAAAAAGCAATATACCTTAAGTTTAATTAGAATGTTACATTTTACATATTAGGAAGAACAGGGTTGGTAAGTGGCAACTTTGCTAATAGAGAACTATAAAAGCATTTACATGAAGAAAACAGATCTTACAATTACAGTTCCAAAGAACACAGAGAAAATCTTTTACCAGACAGTAAAACAATAATCAAATTAACAGAGGTTAACAAAATAAACTGTTTTCTCCTAACCTTTTAACAAAATAATGTGACCTCAAGGAAAACAGTGTGACCAAATTTCCAAAAGAATGTAGAATTAAGATGATCAATTTGTTTCCAATGATTACAGGGAAACCTTTTTGATCAAGTGAGGCGTAAGAGATCTTTTTTTCTCTTTAGAAGGCAAATTTGTATTTTTTTAAAATTTTATTTATTTTTTATTTATTTTTTAAAGATTTTATTTATTTATTTGAGAGAGAGAATGAGAAAGAGAGAGCACATGAGAGGGGGGAGAGTCAGGGGGAGAAGCAGACTCCCTGCTGAGCAGGGAGCCCGATGCGGGACTCGATCCTGGGACTCCAGGATCATGATCTGAGCCGAAGGCAGTCACCCAACCAACTGAGCCACCCAGGTGCCCGCAAATTTGTATTTTATAATGCAGTTCATTATAGGTTTGACCCCATTTTAAACTTTAAGTTCCTGTTAGCTATAAAGGAAATGGGATAAAGTCAAGAGCTAAAGACAATGTCAGTGTCATCATCTTTATATACAGAAGACAGCATAACTTAGAATTTAAGGAAGTAGCATTAATTAGTAATCTAAACTTTATATTCAAGTGCTGATTTTACACCACTGTAATTACATGAAAGCACTTACGTTTTGAATCTAAGAAGTAAAAAAAAAAAAAAAAGGGTAAATAAAACTCATTAAGTATAGAAAATATAAAAGCCAAGGGTGGACAGGCAATTAAAGAGCAGGAGAAATTCTTTTTTATTTTTTTAGATTTATTTATTTATTTGAGAGAAAGACAGAGAGAGGGGAGGGGCAGAGGGAGTGGGAGAATCTTAAGCATGAGACTGAGCAAGAGCCTGACACGGGGCCTGGGGCTTGATCACAGGACTCTGAGATCAAGACCTGAGCCAAAAACAAGGGTCAGACACTCAACTGACTGCACCACCTAGGCACCCCTAAAAAGTGTGAGAAATTCTTAATAAAAACAGGTTGATAATACTTAAAGGGAGACTTTTATCTTTTAATATAATTATTAGATGTTTCAAAATCCCATAGATTTAAATTTTACATCCAGAAAATCAGATAAATTAAAAGGCCAACAGTAAAAAGTATAAAAAAAAATTTATACATTTACAGAATTTCACACTTTTATTTTGGTCTGACAAACTCTAAATATTTCTATTATCAAGTAAAGTTCCTAGAACCATTAAAAGGGTGCTATATTATAAAATACAGTATGTTATTTTTAGCTTGTCTTTGATAATTCTGATTTAATTTTGTAAATATCCCATATTATATCCATAGAACATATATTTTAGCTTACTGACAATACATATGAACTTGGAAATCAGAAGTTCAGTAAAAACAAAGTTCTTTTCTTTAGTTTGAATTCACATTCCACATAATTTTATTTCCTCCTTTCTAACTTCTAAATTGATTTTCTTTTGTTCATTTTAAGTGAAGTTACCACTAAAAACTGGTTTCAATGGTATTTAACTTAATGCCTTTAAGCAGAAGGAAAACACCCAATACACCAATGATGTAATTTTATCCCTTTCCTTAAAAATTTACAAAGGAAATAAACTGATTATTTCTATTGGGTACTCTGCAGAGAAGGATGGCAGGCAGTAAAGCTCCTCAGGAGCTGCCTTATTTGTGTTCACTATCCTGCACAGAAAATGTTCCTTAAGAAATTCTTTTGAACATTGCTGCTACATGTCTAACAAAAACTTAAGATACCCCAAATTTTTAAATCACCTATTTTTCTCCCTCAAAATTAAAGAACTAGCTAGTGAAACTGGTACACCTTTGCACTTCAGCTGCAGTGCTGTCACTGGGTAACCTTGAGCAAAGTCACATAACCTATCTGGGCCTCAATTTCTTCATTGTTAAACGTCAGGGACTAGACCATATATGAGCATCTATAATCTGTCCATGGTAATGACCTAATCAACATTTGGAAAATGCTGAATAGTTACCGGAGGAATTGTTGAACAGCTTAAAACACTGCCCGCAGAAGTAACACTCAGAGTTCTTGTTCTGTACTGTTTATTATCTTCTGTATTTTCTTCATCTCTAAAGGTAAAAGAAAATCACAAATTATCCAGTTAATTTTAGTTAATTATGTGTGATTAATTTATATTATTCCTACATGATAGTAAAACTTAAAAAACATAACATACAGGCCGGAAAGATCATTATATTTAAAATTTCTGTGAAGGCAAAACTACCCACAATTCAGCCCAATATATTAACACTTTTCATTTTACAGCATTCGAATAATCACTATCAAAATTGCAAAATGGTAGAATGTTTCAGCCACCAAATTTGTGATCACATCCCCACAATTCATATCTTTCCCACTAATCCTCTCCTTTTCTTTCACTGAACTTTACACGTCTGCCTCTTAACAATATAAATCCTTGGAACACTTCCCTGCCATCTCCCAAACAACAACAGATGCAAGAGAGAGTACTCTTACTCTATACAATCTGCTCTGCAAAGGCAGAAAAAATGATGGAAACTAATTTGTTTTACACATTGCTCAAAGTTTTAATGTATACAAGGTATAAGAAACTCAGACCATATTAACCCTTAAAGTCAATATTTTTCATCAAAATGTTATCATTGTTTCTACTCTGAATAATAAAAATTTTGCCCAACATGTGTTCAAAGAGAACAAATCATTCCATGCTAAAACTATTTAGCCTATGTATATTTTCTTCTATTACTTACTGAAATTCCTCAGCCACTGCCACCCTTGATTTTAATTTAACTTTATAAGCTTATTATTTGAGTGGTAATAGCCCTGAGACTCCAGATATGGTTATACAAAAAAGGCACAACATTTCTGTTTTGCTTCATAATAAAATTCTAAAGATTAAGACAGCCCTAGGATATAAGCCGTACTGAGGAATGCCTAATAAATGTACTATTGATTTAATTTTGTCATATTACTATTTTGAATAAAACTCCATTAAACTATAATTGATTCTGGCTAAACTATCCCAAATCTAAAAATTAAATTTTTTCTATCTTTTGCTAATATTAATATTTGCAAGAAAGAAACTCTTACAAGAAAAATAACATAGTAACATTACATAGATAGAGGGTTCAAAGTACCAGAGAAAATTCACTATAGATATTTTACGAAGAGAGCATATTTACTGCATGTTTATTGGACTACGTATAAATCAAACCTACATTAGATGTAAAATTACAAAAATATATGAACATTCATCCATCTACAACTTGGTCAATTTATCAAGATCAATTTATCAATTATTTGTAAATAATTCTTTTAAAGTAACTGGTTTGCATTTTTAAGGCAGAACTGCTTAAAACTAACACAATGGTTTGTAAAGGGTAATGTGAATTTTAACAACAAAAGGTTATTTGCTTTCATTTTTTACACATAATGGGGCAGAATATAGCTCTGTTATATCATTTGGGAAAAAACAAACAAACACACTCATTTACCAGACTTGAAGAAAGTATAGGTCTCCACATTAAAGTAAAAAAATCAATCAACAGACATCTATACCTGAAAGGCCTGATTTCTTTGTTTAATGACGACAAGGCAATCAGATGAGGGCATGCATCTTCATACTCTTCAGAGCCCATGGGGATTCCTCCTTGACCTGCTTTACCATCTTGCCTGGTGTCATTTTCAGTTTTGTTTTTCTCCTCAGAACACTCAGTTACAGAACTGTTGTCAACATCCTGCCCTTCTATTTCTTCTAAAGCTCGAATGAATTCAGGTATTTCAAAATTGTGTGCATCAGCACTCTCCTCTGACAAATCATCTTCCTTTATTTGCTCAAGATCTCCAGATGATATGCAACAGCAGTCAGCTGTTTCATCTGTAGAGTTTCGATCACTCTGATTTTCTAAACTACAAACCTTTGCTTTCTCTGACATCTCTTCATCAGAATGTGAGAATTCAGACCTGTCTTCTGTTTCAGTATTTTTATCATCTGGACCTACTGGATGAAGCAGTTCACTATCTGCCTCCATTTCCTTTGTGTAGCCACTGGCAGAAACCTCTACATCAAGAGAGTCCTCCCTCCTAGGAAAAAAGAATGATAAACAAATACTTACCTGACATGGGTAAGTATTTATTATTCTGATAAATTATAATCCTCAAATGAGTTTGGTAGTTTATATATTTTAAAGATTTTTCTTTGCCTAAAATCTAATAGTTAAGTATAAAATGTAAAAGATATAGGCTTGCTGTCACTTAAGAATAAAGTGACTATGAAAAGCAACAAATCCTAGTAAAAGGTTAAACTTCAGCTGATATTGATTTAATAAATTCACTTTCAAAGGGGGCTAAAGATTTCTTCTTTTAAGTTATGTCAATCATCCCAAATCAGAAAACAGTATCTTAACTAAGTATATAAAATAAATGGGAAATTTTTGCTTTGAGGATTTATATTTAATTACGTTCCATGAATCAATTAAACATAGCTTCTCTTATGAAGGAAGGAAAACATAAATTCCAATGAATATTTGACTTGCTTCCTTAAAAATGGGTTATTCACATATTAAACTGTACTTTGCAGTAAAAGTTTGTGAATTTATAAGAAACTATGTATGTTCCTCCCCTAAATTCAGTAACATTGCCTTAACAGACCAAAGGCAGGAATTTTCTAGTTTTTAAGTTTCATTTATACATTAGACAGCAATGATACTCAACAATGATTTAATGTGCTGAAGGTCACTATTTGGAAATTTTTAAGATGAAACTAACTGTTAAAACTCTTAGAATTAAATAAATCAGGTTATTTAAACAGTTTTATCATTTTAAACAAAGCAGAGTACAAACCTGATATCACTAAAAGTTGGATAAAGCTCACTTTCATAGCCGAAACGTTTCATGAAGAAATCTCTAATGCATTTAACATCTCTGTCAAAATACCTGTAAAAGCAAGAATCATTTTTGATATAGCCTGTGTTGCTTACATTTTTCCTTCTTAGTCAATGACAATATCCTATTAATGACACTCCTAATCACTGTATGAAAAAGGATGTTACTCATAAGAAAAAAATACAAGAAACAAATCAGTTGCCAGTGTGTCTGAAAAACTAAAACTAAAAGCAGAGAAACTAAGAGGAAATATAAGCTGTGAAAGGCATAGTCCCTATAGTTAGAAAACTTGAGGTCTTCCCATACTGTAACAGACATACTAAGAGAAGATAAGATGTATATGAATCTCAGAAAAGAAGACTGGATTTGCGGTGTGGGGCAGGTTTCCACTTTTCCTCTTTTGTTTCCAGTCTGGCTGGTTATACTCATCAGCTATACCCACTAGAACCCAGTCAACGGCAAAAGCTAAAGATAAAATAGGTTAGTGATGCCTAAGAAAAAGTTTGGGGACTATTAATTATGTTATTATCCATTAGTTAATTTGCAAGAACAGCCAAAAGAGATAAACAATGCTGTGGCTTATAAATAATGATCTGAAGACATGTTAATCTGGACCAGGGTAGAAGGACCTGTGAATATCAGGTTGCTTTTTCGGCCACCATAGCAGTGAGAACAGATTAAATTCTCTAGGTTTCTAGACAAAGGAGAATTAAGAAACAGGGTGATGTGGAATTGACTACCTGCTTGAATATTAATATTTTAGAGAAATATAAAGTCTGGAAACAAAGATAATGCCACTCTTCTTTCCTTTTAGGGCACCCTGGGAAAAACCTCAATAAATTATTTTAAAATTATCTTTTTACATATGTCTATGTTTCATCTAACTAGATAAAATCTCAAAATCTTCAAAAGCAGAGATAGGTCTTATTTGTAATTATTAATTTATATCTTAATTTCTGGTGCTTAGCACAACTCCTTTACCCCAGTACCTGCCCATTAAATATCAAGTTAAATCACACTGTTTCCCTATAGAATAATGCAGCCTACACTTCAAATGTCATGATTTGTCATCGTTTCCTTCTCTAACTCTGGTGGTTCCTGGATGTTCCTTCATTGTGTGACTATGTTACCTCATATAATAAAAATGGTGATTAGTTACCATCCAAAGATATATTAACCACCCAAGCACCTAATAATCTATTAATAATTGTTTGGTTGGAAATATTCTTAAATATATTTAACGGACATTTCTTTTTTAGAGTAAGTATAGACATTTTCTAATGAGAATCAGGAGGAAGAAAATCTTGACTGAACACAAACTGGTTTGAGTTCCCACTTTCGAAGAATTCATTATCTCTATTATGTAAGTGATAGCGGTTGTTATCTTCAGGAAAAAAGAGAAGTTTCTCATATTGTAACTTGGAACAGGAGGAGAAAAAATATTCAACTTTAATTTGATTACAATCAGTTGCATCATGAAATACAAGGGAAAATATTCTGTCATATTTCACAGCTTGGCTAGCTTACATGGTTAAGTAATGTGAGGAATGAGCTTATCATTCCCTGCCCTGCATGAGGGATGAGGTTTTATATGAATTCTTTTCTAATAATAAAATAAAAGCTAAAAATGACAGGAGAGATATTCTTTTTTTTTTTTTTTTAAAGATTTTATTTATTTGACAGAGCACAAGCAGAGGGAGAGAGAGGGAGAAGCAGGTTCCCTACTGAGCAAGGAGCCCGATATGGGACTCGATCCCAGGACCCTGGGATCATGACCTGGGCCGAAGGTAGCCGCTTAACCGACTGAGCCACCCAGGCGTCCCAGGAGAGATATTCTTGATCTGGCAACTGAGTCCCCTCCAAAATTACAATTTTTATTAAGGCCATCACAATTATCAAATTATGCTTTGGTATAACACTCTTGGAGGCAACCATGGAGCAAAGAGAAGGGGGAAAGGCAGAGAGGACGGGGTTCTAGGGTCTCCTTCTCTATGTCCCTACTTTTTCTTAGCAGGCTTTTGTTTTAAAAACTGGGCTTTTACGTAAAAGTTTGAATAAAGGGTCGTTTGGCTAAGAAAGGTTAACTTTCGAAAGTCTGTCAGATCACACAAGTAACTCAAATTCTATTGCCCCTCCTTCTGCGCACGCTCTCTCAAATAAAATAAATCTTTAAAAAATCCACCAAATTTTTAGACCATTAACATCAGCCACTTCAAACCAGTTATTGACCCAAATGACAGTATGACAAAGTTGAAAAATTAAGAAAAAAATTATTACATCACACATAAACACACCCATATCCAGAAACACTTTTAGCATATACCATTCAGCATTGTGATGAGAAGTTGAAACCATCTGTGGAAAGTCAATCATGGTGATGTGGTCATCTTTATCCAAAATGAGATTAAATTCATTAAAATCTCCATGAATCAGTCCATGATTTGCAAGTTTGACAATTAGTTCCATAGCTTCATCATACACTGATGCAGGATCTTCAACATGGTGTATCTGACATCTGAAAATATGAAAATAGGTTATTTGTATTCATTTGTAATTTTCATGAAAGCAAACATGTGTGTGTATTATTATTTCCATTCCTTAATTCCTTAACAACTTTCTCATTTCTATCAGCATACAGACATGATATAACAGCTCCCACCTATTTAAAAAAAAAAGAAGCCATGACCTGCCTCAATTCTGTATTCTCTTTCTACTATAGACTTTCTGTGATAATTACAGCTAAACTCCTCTACATGCACTTTCTTCATTTTTTCTCTCCCATTCTAATGAACCCATTTCAAACATTTTCATCCACCTTGTTCCAAAGAAATAGGTCTGGTCAAAGCTACCAATGACTTCCATGTTGTTAAATCCAGTAGTCATTATTTGTTCTGTCAGTTAACCTCTTCACCCTTGTTGAAACATTCCTTCACTTTACTCTTGGTACACCAACTCTTAAGGCTGTCCTCTTTCCATTATTTATCATTCCTTCTTAGTCTTTTTTTTACTAGTTCTTCATCTTTCCTTGACTTTTAGATTTTGGAGCTCCTCAAAGGTTATTGCTAGGAGCCTTTATTTACAGTTATTCTTGGTGATCTCACTCAGGCTCATGGCTTTAAACACTATATATACACTGACCTCAATTTAGACTTCTCTGAACTCTAAGGCATCTCAAACTTAACCGTGTCCCACACTGAACCTCTGATTCTATTTCACCCTCTAACTCCAAGCTGCTCTTTCTATAGTCTTTCCCATTTCTGTAGAAACACCTTTGTACCTCCACTTAATTTGTTATTCAGGCCCAAAACCTTGGTGTTATCCTTGACATTCCTCTTACTTCATATCAATATCCAATCTCAAACAAATCATGTTGGCTCTACCTAAAAAATATATCCAGAATCTGACCACTTTTTATCACCTTCAAATCTACAACTCTGATCTAAACAACCATCATCTCTTGTCTGGATTATTACAATAATCGCCTAATTTGTCTTCCTAATTCTGTCCTTGTCTCCTTTCAGTCTATTCTCAAAACAACAGCCACAGTAATCCTATTAAAACAGTTACATCACATCTCTTCTCCAAAATCCTCCATAGCTTCCTATCCCAATCAAAATAAAAAAGCCCTTGTGCTAACTATTGCTACATTGGCAATGACATTGCAATACATACATGTATGAAATCAACATGTTGCACACTTTAAATTTATATATCAAATGTATTAAAAAAATTAAGAATTCCTTGCAATGACCTATAAAGCCTAAATAATCTAGTTCCCTGCTGCCTCTCTGATCTTATCACTTATAATCTTTGCCCTCACTCACTCAACTCCAAGTACACCAGCGTCCTCATTGGTCCCTGAACATTTACGCATGCTCCCATCTCTGGACTTATGTACTTGCTGCTCCCTCTGTCTGGATCTCTTAGATAGCTGCATGGTTTTCTCTCTCATTTCTTTTAGGACTGTGCTCAAAAAACACCTTATCAGTGAGACTCTTCCCGACCATTTATGTAAAAACAACAGCTTCTTCCACCTACCTCAGTACTTTCTCTCCCCCTTACCTGTTTTATTTTTATCCACTGCATTTTCTACCATCTGATAATCATACATTTCTTTCTTTAGCTATTTATTGCATGTCTCCTTCCAACAGAATGTAAGCTCTATGAAGGGAGAGATTTTGTTTTGTTCACTGCTGAGCTTTGGTATATACTAGAACAGTGCTTGGTATATACTAGATAGTTAATAAATCACAGAGATTACAAAATCCATACTGTCAGAATGAAACTGAATTTTTAGTTTGCATGAGACTACAGCCTTCTATTAATTTATCTCCTTGAAGCAATATTCTATTTAATCAAAAAATTTTTTTTGAAAACTAAACCTCACATTTATTTATTAGGATCCATAGTTTCAAGAATAACAAATACTTACAGAGGATAGCCATTTATGAGTTCCATGACCACTGCATGGCGATTATAATCAATTGGTTTTGGTACTGGGAATTTCCTCTCATACAATGCCTAAAACATAGCAAAACAGGTATAAACTAATAAAGAGGTCATTAATTTTTAGGGAAAAATAAAGCAAATGTACCTGCCCACAACCAGAAGAAAAAACATGCAAGCCTTTACAAAATTACAGTTAACACACGCTTATTTATGTATGGCTATTCACAGCACAAAATAAGCTATACATAAAACAAAATTTTAAATCAGTTTACTTAATTCACCTTTTCACCAAGCCTTAATTTACTGAACATTTACTAAATATTATACATGGTGCTAGGGTTACAGAAATGAATGCTAAAAAGTCTGTCCCCAAGAAGCCTATAGTCTCTTGGATATATCTTCTTCTTATTTTGTCAAGTTTCTGCCATTAATTGGGAGTGTGCTTAAAAATTCACATGGAGGGCGCCTGGGTGGCTCAGACGGTTAAGCATCTGCCTTTGGCTCAGTTTGTGATCTCAGGTTCCTGGGATGGAGTCCCACGTCAGGCTCTCAGCTCGGCAGGGAGTCTGCTTCTCCCTTTCACTCTCCCTTTGTGCTCTCTTTCTCTCAAATAAATAAATAAAATCTTTAAAAAAAATTCACATGGAAATAAGTTGTGATTTGGGAAATACTCTTGTCTTCTGGCAGTTTAGGAAATAAAATACCCAGTAGATCAGGCATTTTAGTTTATAGAGCACTGACCACAATATAAAATATAAATAAATTGATTATGTGACAAATATATATACAGTAGTGGTCTGAGTCAGATGTTACTTCAGATCAACCATAAATCCATTCTTTCCCCATATGCTTTACTTTTCCTATCCTATTGCTTACAAAGTCCAAATCTCTTAGATTTATGCCCTCTACAATTTAGAATGCTACCATTTCAAAGTAGGCCTTTGTTATTTATACCTGTTTGCTCCAACAGTGGTTCTAGCTCTTGCCACCATATCTAACCTTTATTCTGTGTACCAATACCAAACTAAAATACTTACATCAATGCTCCATTTTAAAAAAAAGCTACAATGTTTCTAAGTATTGATCTCAGTCTGGAAAACTTTTCCTAGTTTTTTTTTTTTTTTTTTAAGATTTTATTTATTTATTTATTTGACAGAGAGAGACACAGCGAGAGAGGGAACACAAGCAGGGGGAGTGGGAGAGGGAGAAGCAGGCTCCCTGAGGGAGCCCGATGCGGTACTCGATCCCAGGACCCTGGGATCATGACCTGAGCTGAAGGCAGTCGCTTAACCAACTGAGCCACCCAGGCACCCAACTTTTCCTAGTTTTTAAAACTCTCTTTAATCTACTTATCCAGTCCTAATTTTCCCAATACTCTTTTTAATAAGCACTCTGGAGTACACACAGGGCTTACATTCATATTCATGTCTTTGCCCACAGTGGCTCCTCTGCAAAGTACAGTACACTGTCTGACTATCTTCTCCTTAGAGACAAATTACATGCATGCTTCATGACTCTACTCAACTCCTACTCATTTTATGAAACCCCCTTCATCAACTATTCTAGTCTACAGAAGTTTCCCTAAATGTAACAAATAATTTAATTTTTAAACTATTCTTTGTATATATTTGTGTTGTATTCCCAACTTTAAGACATTGACTGCATTACTTATTCCTCTGGTATCCACACCTTCACCCCACTGTATGCCAGGTACTTAATACAGTGGTAGGCATACAAATAATATTCAGCATATATCTATTAACAGGGTCAGTTTTATAAAGCTGTTTACTTCCTACCTTCTTTGTTAGAGGAACTGAATTACTTCCCATTCCCCAAAGGTTTTTGTTTGTTTGGCTTTAAAGATTTTTTTTTTTCAGTGCAAGTACTTTTGAACATGCCTTGGCAGCTCAACAGCATATAATAACCTTAACTATTGTCATAGTGGTCTAGCCCTTGCACTATGGCTTAATTCTTAAGCTATTGCCTAATCTTATTTTACTCTCTAGGAAAAAAGAGAAAAATTTAAGGAGCATATTTATGCACAACCAGGTTCTATCCTAGTACCGTCATATAAACATCTGAGAAAACACCTAATGCAGTTTTGGGAAAATGTGTAACAATCCCTACCAAACCGCCTACTTACTGATTATCTATCATAGGTTACAAATCGTTAGTATAAGACAAGAAACATCATGTTATGGTATCAACATCACTTACATTGTTTGAGAATTCTTCCCCCATCATTACTAAAAATGTAAGCACATGAATTAAAATAACCTACTCAAAAAACACCAAACTGAAACTCCTAAGAGTTTCATAAACTGGCCATATACTAGAGTGACTTCTTTTTTTTTAAATGTATGTATGTATTTTTAGTAATCTCTATACCTAACGTGGGAGTCAAACTCACAACCCCCAGATCAAGAGTTGCATGCTCTTTCAACTGAGCCAGCCCGGTGCCCCTAGTGTGACTTTTAATAAATCAAAATTTTAAAAAGTGATGATAAGTAGTAACAAACACTATTATTATTGGAGAATAGTAATAATACAATACTATTTTCTGTTTAATTGTTATTGAAAATATTTAATTTGGTTATTAAAGATATTTAACAAATCTTGGGGCATCTGGGTGGCTCAGCCAGTTAAGCATCTGACTTCAGCTAAGGTCATGATCCCAGGGTCCTGGGATTGGGCCCCATGTCAGGCTCTCTGCTTGGCGGGAGCCTGCCTCTCCCTCTCCATCTGCCACTCCCCCTGCTTGTGCTCTCTCACTCTCCCAAATAAATAAAATCTTAAAAAAAAAAAAAAAAGATACTTAACCAATCTACCCTGAACTTAATTTTGAAGTTGAAAGGTTAAAGGCTAAAGATTTTTACCATTCCTAATTTGCATGCTGTAAATCAACATTTCTTCTCCATTACATGAAGGAAAAATACTAGTCAACTTATCTGAGACACTAAGGTTTCTACAGATAACTACTATAGGTAACTCCCTGGGGTTTTCAATTAGAGACAAACATATGCGTATTTATGTATATTGAATAGATACACACACATTTGTGAGGCAATTACATCATTATTTAAGGCTACTTGTTAATATTGCAGAATATTACCTCATATTATAAAATAGTATCTTATTAACACTGTAGAACACATGTTGCCTTAATTTGCATTAGTAACAATGAAAAATGCCTTCACAAAGAAAAAAAGTCACCAGAAAAGCAAATAACAGAAATAATCATTAGTTAAAAGTAAGTGAAAGAATTAGGACTGGGGTAGAGAGATGTGGGGGCAAAAGACTGATAACTGTCACTATATCTTTTCAACTACATGTACTATTTTGTTAAGAAATACAAAATTATTTACCAAATACCTTCATATAGGCAAATTCTTTCATGGCAGAGAGACGAGATAAATAAAGCCAAGACATGTTATGCCTGTGTTTATGATAATCACGTTTGTTTTTCAGATTTCGAAAGGAGGTTCTTCCCAATCTGTGAAGCTTTAACGCAAATTGCTGCCCTTCTTCATTTGCAACAATGTAAATATCTAGAGCCAAGATTTAGAAAAGATCATTATTATACTATCATTCCAAAAAGTTCAATTGTAATTTCTGAATTTTGATTTTATTTGTATCAAATTTTCTTTACTAATAACCAGGAATATTTATTACTCAGCAAAATTCTTTATTTTAAATACAATCCAAAATAAGATAACATGTATTAATATCTACTACAAAAGAAAACAGGGATGTAGCGTGTCAAAGGTTATTGCTCCCAAAGGTGCTCAATACTCAGTTCAATTTAGTGGCAAATTGTCTTACATGTCCTACATGTATGAGAAGTGATTTAATATCTTCTTTTTCAACAATATGAAGTTCAATTCTTCAACTGCTTCAATAAATAATATTCAGCTGTTAGGGGCTATAGGGGTGCCTAGGTGGCTCAGTCGATTAGGTGTCTGCCTTTGGCTCGGGTCGTGATCCCTAGGGTCCTGGGATTGATCCCTGCATTGGGCTCCCTGCTCAGTGGAGCCTGCTTCTCCCTCTCCCTCTGCTGCTCCCCCTGCTTGTGCTCTCTGTTAAATAAATAAATAAAATCTTTAAAAAAAAGAATATAATCCTATAGTAAACAGAATGGAGATCTTCCCCTAAGTATTCCAATGATCAAAAAAAGTTGCTATTTGAAATACTGACATTTAAAACATGTCCTAATTATTCATGAGAAATTTTAATTATTATACATCAAGAAACTCACATTGGTGGAATTAAAATTAGTGTAAACTTTTGAAAGGAAATTTGGTACTACCAAATTTTAAATGTACATAACTTTTGCACTAATAATTCCTAAGACTGTATTTATGAATTTATTTGCACATTTGCACAGAGATATGTGCACAAGGATGTCTACCATGTCATTACTCACAAAAGAAAAGATGAAGTAACATAAATGCCCCTAACAACTGGGACTGGTTAATCAATTACTGAGCACTAATACTATGTAAAACTCTGCAACTATGAAAAAGACCTATCTGTTAACATGAAATGATATCAGAAATGCATCAAGAGGCACCTGGCTGGCACCTAGCGCATGGGACTCTTGATCATGGGGTTGTAAGTTGGAGCCCCAGGTTGGGTGTAGAGATTACTTAAAAATAAAATCTTAAAAAAAAAAAAAAAAAAAGCATCAGGTGGAAAAAATCAAGGTGTAAAATAGTTAAGTAATGTTTACTTTCACCTGTGATTAAAAAGATATGTGAATGCATATACATACATTTTTGGTACATTATATACTAGTATTAACATAAAATATTTCTAGAAGGATATATAAGATACCAATCAACAGTAATAATTTTGGGAAGTAATAACAGCAGATTGAGACCTGGGTTAGAAGTAAGATTTACTTTTTATTGTACTTTCTTTTGTACTATTTATCAATTCCATGCAGTGAAGTCCTTAAAAAAAAGCCATTATTTTTTTAAGTAAAAAAAATCAGACATAAAAAAGTTAAGAGGCACATATCTAAAAAAAAAGGTGTTTCATTACCTCATTTTATACATTTCTCACACACACACACACACACACACAGTGCTATATTTAGCACTCCCGCAATACTTATTTGCTCAATGCTATTTTAGAAAGCTTCTTTCTGTGTTCTACACACACCTAACTTTGTCCTATTTCTATGATGGAAAAATGTGTTTGTGGCTTTTCGATGTTCACTGTCTTCTAATAATCCCTTGTGCATATTTTAACTATTACAAATATCCATTTACCATACATAAAATAAGAGTAAATAAAATATTTGCCAAAGATGTCAGTTATTAGAAGAAAATTAATTCTTGCTATAATTGAATTGTCAGTGAGACTTACAAAAAACAATAACCTACTAAATTAAGGGTAATTTCATCATCTATATTGTTTCCAACCAACTTTTCAATTTACTGCTCAGTTGGAAAAAATGGAAAAATTAAAAGATAATGCTTTCTCAGGGAGAAATATAAATAGAAACTAGAGCGAAGAAAATGAGTTCAGTAGTAGTTAGCACTTACCAGATTCTTTGCCAACACCCATCTGGTTTCCAACAGACTCAACCACCTGTCTAGAAGAAAGTGTTTTCAAAGCTAGGTAATCATAGCCTGCATTTGTCAGCCGGTAGCCCTGGACAGCTAGACAAAATAAAACGAAAAAGACTGTATTTTACTTACATTGTACAATCAAGTCACATTAGTTCAAGTCATGAGAAGAATTTAAACATAAGAAATCTTAGTTGGAATGATTAGCTTACCCAGTCTTAGGAGTCTGGCATTTCTTCCTATAATTTGTATTTTTTTCTCTAGAGCAGTGTTACTCAAAGTGTGACTCTCAGACTGACACCAGTCTCTAAATATTTGTTACCAGTCTGAAACGAAGTGGTTACCTTAAGAAATTTTTATATCACTTTGACAAATTTATTTTATGTCTTCAATTCTAATAAGGAATTTGTGCCTGTATTTTATCAATTTTTAAATTTCATTTTTCTAGCAATTACTTTTTTACTGTTATTTTATAAAAGCATGGATCCATAATAGGTGGAAAAAAAGAAACTCATCCCTCACCACAGGTGGTTTGAGAATTAATGCTTTAGAGTAGTGCAGTAGAACATTATTTGCCAAAGATAGTGGCAATAATTATCCCCATCCTACTTGCTCTTCTGCCAACTGGAACTTGTTAATCCCCTCTCAGGAGATGGAGGCTATTTCTCTACTCTCTTTGATCTGGGTGGGCCCTGTGAAAGCTCTAATAGAACATGGTAAATGTATGCAGTTTTCGGGTCTAGAAAGAGTACTTTGCTGGTCTGGCAACTTTCATTTTCCACCTTTCGAAATGCCTGCTCTGGGGGAAGCCAGTTACATGAAAAATCACAAATGGTGCCATAAATACTTACTTTTGGTACGCTCCCAAGCTATGAGTTTATGTTTCACTAATTCTCTTAAAACTTTATTACAGCCACCATGTTTAAGGCTGGCTATAGAAGCAGCTAAACTGCAGGGAACTATTTCATGGTTCTTCATGCCCATTTCAACCTGAAATTAAAGGAATCATATGTAATCATAATCAACAGAGCTGTTGTCTATCAAAATCTTGCTAAGAAATTAACTTCTTCAAATTTCTCTGACCATGCAGTTCCCCAGCCAATTCTGAGATGTAAGTACTACCTTCTCTGGACATATTTCTAATCATAATTTGATTATATAATCACAGACACTCATATTCTGCCTCTCTACTAAACTCTAAAGGTAAAAATTGCAAATAATTAACACTTACTGACATGTGGCAAATACTAAGATATTTATTGACATCTAAATATTTATCTTTAAAAACTATAGGTATTTCAGGGGTGCCTTGGTGGCTCAGTCGTTAAGCATCTGCCTTCGGCTCAGGTCATGATCCCAGGGTCCTGGGATCAAGCCCTGTATCGGGCTCCTTGCTGAGCGGGGAGCCTGCTTCTCCCTCTCCCTCTCCCCCTGCTTATGTTCCCTCCCTCGCTATCTGTCAAATAAATAAAATCTTAAAAAAAAAAAAAACAAACTATAGTTATTTCAGATATTCATTAAGAAGGTATTTAATATGAAAGTATCATATGCAGGCGTGATGGAAGATTAAAAAATATATAAAAATACTCTACCCCTCAAGAATTTATTATCTAATTGTGGAAATAAGAACCTACACATCTAACTTTATTAGAAGACAAGAAATGGTAAGTGCTAAAAAAGAAGTGCTCAGGGCTGAACAAAAATAATTCTAGCTGAGGGATCAGTTTCAAAGAAGTGGCACCTGAGGTGTACTTTGAGATGAAGGAAAACCGAAAAAAACACACAAGGGAATATCAGAGAAAGCAAAAGATTTGGACATGGCACATACGCAAGAAAATACAGAGCACAGCAACAGCTAGTACAATGGTAGCTCAGGTGCGATGGCAAATAGAATTCATGAAAAGGCGGATGGAAAACGCTTTTGAGAAAGGTATGGAAGGCCTTGAAATGTAGACCAAGGAGTTTAGATTTCTTGTTGAGGAAAACTGAAAACCCTTGAAGGTGTTTACGCACGGGAGATACATGAACAGAGATGTTTTAAGGACATTAATCACAACTCAAAGTTCTGGAAGGTCTCTCAAATGAAGCTGTTTAAGGTAATTTGGAAAGATGTATCTATACTCAGGAATGAAGTCATAATTAAAGGGTAAAATTGTCAGTTATTTGACAGAGGTAACAGATAAAGCCGTGAAGTGGATGTGATCATCAAACAAGAGATAATGGAAGACAAAGGAGGGTTGAGGGACAGAATTTTGGGGAAGTTCACATTAAAAGGTAAGGGCAGCCAGTCAAAGTATGATTACTGATGTAGGAGGGGCCTGAGAAGTAAAGGAAAGAGAGTCAAGGAAAGGTGGCTGCTGATACCAAGGATGGTTAAGACTCAACAGAGACGGGGGCGCCTGGGTGGCTCAGTCGTTAAGCACCTGCCTTCGGCTCAGGTCATGATTCTAGGGTCCTGGGATCGAGCCCCGCATCGGGCTCCCTGCTCAGCAGGAAGCGTGCTTCTCCCTCTCCCACTCCCCCTGCTTGTGTTCCTGCTCTCACTGTCTCTCTCTCTGTCAAATAAATAAATAAAATCTTTTAAAAAAAAAAAGACTCAACAGAGACTGAAATATTATATTTAACAAGCAGGTCATTTGTTGGTGAGCTTCAGAAAAGAACTTAAATATTGCAGAGATGAAGTTCTGGAAGATAAAACTGGCAATGTTTTGATATCCCAACCAAAATCTCACACCTTAACTCATTTCCCTTGTTAGCCTCTAACATTCTTTCTTGACTCCCTTGTTTCTGTTGGGCATTAAGGAATAAATCAATGTGCTGAGGAAGCAGAGAAGGAAGGTATCTTTCAGAAGTGACAGTAGGTGTTTAGACAAAGTGCAGATGAATTAAGTGCCTTCCAAATTTCATACTGAATTTGCATTTGATACTTTAATCTTTAAGTATTGCCTATTTAAGCAAAAGATAATAGCTTCTAAAAAATTTATTGTTTTATTCTGGAAATGCCTAACCTATGTGTTGTTGATCTTTGTGCTGTAAGACTACTACCATTGAAATCAGTTTTTGTCACTTCCCTGCTAAAAACAGTGGCGGCGCCTCTATATCTAGAATATATTCCAAATTCTTTACCAAGCCTGCACATGATCTGTCTCACCTTGTCCAATTACATCTCCAACCAGTCAACCAAACTTGCTCATTATGCTCCAGCCACACTGGCCTTTCTTCAAAAACTTTCTAGTTCAGAAGCTTTTTACTTAGTACAGCTGTTTCCTCGGTCTCCAACTCTTTCCAAGAAGTTCACTGGACCACTTCCTTCTCATTCAGCTCCTATTATTTCCCCCTCTCCCCTGCCAGTCTTTCTTTTACTTGGCAAATATTTATTCAGTACCTACCAAACGCCAGGAACATTTTCAAAAGGCCTTAACACTTCGGTTACAACAGTAAACAGACAAGATTCTTTCACTCTGGCAGTCTTCTCTGACTACACAATTTAAAGATGGCATTCATGCTCCCCACCCCAAACGTGCAGTTTCTATTCTATTATCCTCTTTATCCTCTTCACAGCACTTATTATCTGATAGTCTTCCTTTATCTACTCGTTTACTCAATGATCTGTCATCCTTGTCTTGTACCCCTCTGAATCCCCTAGAATTGTCACTAAAAACCAGACAAATAAGTGTTGATTGAATGAAACTGAATAAATGCTATGTGAGGGCATCTGTGAGTGAGGAATTCAGTGCTAACAATTCTCAAGAGTCTTAAACCCTTCTCCGGGGTCGGAAGCCCAGGGTCAGAGAAGCTTTCCAGGCCACAGAGATGCAAGTATAGCTCTGGAACATAAGTAGGGGAGCAGGAAGGAAGGAAATGATTAGAAGAGGGGACTTTGCTCTGTTTCGGGGGAAGTCAAAAGCTTTCGAACAAAGGCTTTTGAAAAATCTGACTGTCGGGTCTTCTCTTCCTCATTCCGAGCCTGGGTCTCTTAAGAGGGCCTACAGTACGCTCAGCTCTCAGCCGAGTCTCCGGAACAGGAAAACGCGCGGTGGGAAAGGACTGGGGGCAGGGAGAAACGGCGAACTTCTTACCGCGGTCAGGACCCTGAAATCATCTCGGCTCATGTAACGTAACTTGGCCACATTCACTTTCCCCATGGCGGCTCAGGATCAAGCCAGGATACTCCTTCACAACAGCTGAAGAGCACAAGGTACACCTGTACCCTAACCTCTCCGGCGCCTCACAGCCGTCGGGTGGCTTGCGCGTGCGCTGCTCCTCACTGCAGGTCCTTGTTGATAAATAGAAGAACTATTCTGTCCGGCGTGGGAAAATGAAACGTCTTCTGGGTTTTATGATGCGCGTAGCATGGAACAACGCAGAATTTTTTTTTGTAAGGGGATTTTTGTCATGTAAGTTAACGGACTTTGAGTGTCTACAATATGTCATTTTGTTTTTCATATCTGTCAGGACTGGCTGCCCAAAGGACGTGAGCTGCCTGTGAGAGCAGAATGGTAACAGAACCCGAGGAGCAAATTTCATCCCCAACCAGCAACTCCTACTTTAGGCAAAGTGAGTTCCAACAAGAGAAGGGGGTGAAATGAACCCAAGAGCGTCCAGACACACAAAGCAGTTAAAAATAAAAACAATAGTAAACAGCGCCTGCTTAGAGAAGAGGAAGGCGTGGCTAAAGAGCGCTCTCTTGCGCTTGCTCAGTATTGGCTTTGGGTTGGTTCGCGAGACTCGGGAGTGCGCCTGCGCCTGCGCCTGGTGGGGGTGGGGTTTAGGCTGTGTGGAAGGCGTACTGTCGTGATTGCATCTCCCGCTCATTTCCAGAGAAAGCGGGCGATTTTTGACGAGTTGGAACGAGGCAATGGGCATTGTTTGTCAAAGGCCAAGACGTGATTTCAGGGCTTTAGGAGAGCTACCCACACTGAACCTGGAACTCCTCTCTACGTCAACAAAAATGGTAACGAGCAAGACCTTGGACAACTTGCTCCTCAGAGGGTGGCTACTCTACCTTCCCTAAAAAAGCAACAAGGGTAACAAAACTTGTGTGATAATGTTTGTGTTTCTCTCTTGTTTCATGAACTACGTTTTAAACCTTTAAAAGACAATTACCTATTTTGGTACACCCTCACACCTTAGGTGTGGATACTACATATGGTCACGGACTTCAGCTTTGACTTCATTTCCAGCCACTGCTCTCTAGCCTGTCTCTGGGTTGAGTCTCAAAACTTTGAAGTGTAAACTTTGGAGTTCATTATTTACAGAGTCCATTTTTTTCCTACTGGGGTTCTACTGGCCGATGTGCCCATTTTCCAACTCTCCAGGGCCCTACTGAGTATGTTGCTTTGTCCAAACACAAGAGTTAATTTTTTCATAAAACCTGGCTGCAGTTCCAAGGCAAGCAATTAGATATGCCCTTTCTTTCCAAGTCAGAATAGTTAATACTCTGAAACCATAGACTACAGGTAGCAGAACAATCTTCTGTCCCTTCTACACTACAACCTTTGGCTTCATTTTTTACACTTGAATGCAGTAAGCCTTTGATTAACCATGCTCAACTCTTGGAAACCTCTACTGAGATGGACTTTTTCTTTCTATACTTCACATAAGAAATAAAAATGAAAAGCTTTTATGGAGCAAGAATGAGATGGGAAACAAGTCATTTGGCTGTTTCCTAATCCAACATTCTAGCAGACATTGCTAATCTGTTAAAGCACAAACCTTATGTTACCACTAAGCTCTGCTCCAGACAACCACTACTAATTGTTTGGATTTGGCTACAGTTGTTGTCCTGTTTCTGGAGCATTCCAGAATACAGAATCACACTGAGCCCAAATCTCTTCTACTTTTAATATTTATATATATATTTAATACAATCATCTTAATCAGACCTTTGAAGAGTAAAAGTGATTCAGTTATTGTTCAATATTCTCATTTACTTTTCCTACCATGCTTAGTAATGACAAAAAATACACAGTATTTTTTATTCACTCATTTACTATTTATCAAACATATATGCCAGATTTTTTGCTTGGTCCTGAGGAAAGAATCCTAACCCTTAAGTCTTGAGGTGGAAGGAGATGAACAGAAAATAAGAGAATAATATGACAGAGGTGTGCAAAGGATTTAGCACATCATTATTACCTACTCCCAGACCCCCATCTCTCACACACACACACACACACACACACACACACACACACACACACACACACACACACAGTTTGTCCTCACAAGTTGAAGAGGATCTTGACTGTCTATTGATGAAAGTTCAAACTTTTCTTAGGTTAAATTAAACTTCTTAGGCTGGCATTCAGAATCTTCAATAATCTGTATCATTGCTTACTTTCAAGTAACATATGCTCTTGCTTAATTGAACTACAATTCAATCAAATACAGTTCCCTTGATTTCCTGTATTACTGCCATTTCCCTTCATCTGTAATGCTTACCTTCCCACCTCCTTTTTCCCCTTTTATCTAGTCACCACATATGTTAAGTCTTACCTACCATTCATAAAACACTATGCATCCCATAAAACTTTTCTTTATTATCCCTATGTTATTTTCCTAGGGTTGCTGTAACAAATATCCACAAACTTGGTGGTTTAAAACCATAGAAATTTAGTCTTTTACAGTTATGGACCATGCTCCCTCCAGAGGCTCTAAGGGACAATCTGTTTCTTTCCTCTTTCAGCTTCTGTCAGCATTTGGTGACTACTGGCATTTCTTGGCTTGTGGTTGTGTCCTGCCTCTGTAGTCACATTGCCTTCTCCATTTTGTGTGTGTCTCCCTCTGTTTCTGTCTTATAAAAATACATGTTATTGCATTTAATAGCACAAGAATTGGACTGTAGTGGACACTGTGATGTACCACCAGCTGTCCCCCTCCAGGAATGAAGGACTTACTCCACCCAGCTCCTGGAAGTGCTGCCAGCAGAAGATGCTCAGTAGTCAGCCTCCACTTGGATTGCCTAGGTTGAAGGAGCTACCTCACTGAAGGTCATACCTCCTTTCTGGGTTTGCCTGGATCCAGTGACTGATTGACATAGACATCAAAGGCTCAGATTCTTTGCACCAGCTTAGCATAACTCAACATAACTACAAAGGGTCATGCAATCTTTAGAACTCCTTGTAGAGTCAACTGCAGCCTCCCTTGGTACTGCATCATAGTTCAACCTCTTCCTTTGCTTACTCCTGCTCTTTCCCCGTTCTCTTCCAGGGGTTGATCATAAGAGCACTTCTTAGTAATACCGTAATACAGTACAGGTCTATTCCTGAGGAACTTAACCTTTACCATTGTTCTTCTGGGCCCTCAGCTTAGTATTAACAGGACACTGCTATAAAAATGGGATAGGCAGGATAAGACCCCCAACTGAGGCTTAATTCTGCCACTAACTAGCTTTTTGAGCTTGGCTACACTCTAAATTCTCTTATTCATACAAGTTTTTATTTTGAATGTTTATTATACGACATATTTTGGTAAACAAAACTCAGTTCCTTTCCTCAAGGAGCTTAAAGGTCTAATGATTCTTAGGTTGTTTATATTATGAAAGGACTGAACTTGAATTGTATTTCTAAACTTTTTGTTAATTTAAGTCCCCATCTCAAGCTCCGTAGTCTCCATTCCATTCAGGTTGAGAATCACTCTAGGAACCAAGAATATTTGGTTAAGATTTATTTTATGAAAATAAGATTCTTTCATTTTGCAAACAGAAAATTATATAATGTGATAATAGATATGCCTTTTCAAACTGTACCTCTCAAGCCTTAGTGATTTTGATAGCACCCGAGGAACTACTGGACAGTCTCTTTGAGTTCAGTCAGGACAGAAACCATATTAGTTATTTAAACATAGAAGTTAATATTAAGAATCATGAATTTGGCATAAAGCTAAATAGAAAACTGAAAATGGGAAAGGAGAATACTAAGGCACTACAACTGCCACTACTAAGGCTCGAGCAACTAAAATAAAATTGAAGTGACTTAGAAGCTTAGGGAAGAGGTCCCATGGACCTGAGACCCAGACTTCTGAGGAGGGGTACTGCCAGGTTGGTGATAATAGTTCTGGAGCAGGAAGACTTCATAAGACTGGTTTGGCAAGTTTGGAACAACTGCAAACTAGATTCAGATGTTGCTATGGAAAGATGCTGCTGGGCTGAGTAAGTATTAGGACAATGCTAACAAAAATGGCATACCTAGGAAGCGTGGAGGAAGCAAACAGGAAGCAGAGGAACAAATTAATTCTTCCCTTAGGATTACTTTTCAGCAGAGTCCAATGTGGAGCCACCTGGCAACGCAGAAATGTGGTTTACAAGGTTCCAACCTTAGCATCAGAAAGTGGGGTTAGAAGTCTTGGTTTTGGGGGTGCCTGGGTGGCTCAGTCGTTAAGCATCTGCCTTCGGCTCAGGTCATGATCCCAGGGTCCTGGTATGGAGCCCCGCATCAGGCTCCCTGCTCTGTGGGAAGCCTGCTTCTCTTTCCCCCATTCCCCCTGCTTGTGTTTCCTCTCTTGCTGTGTCTCTCTCTGTCAAATAAATAAATAAAATCTTAAAAAAAAATAGAAGTCTGGGTTTTGGAGCTTAGAGACAATAGCTTGATAACTGGCACAATCTCTAAAAGATTTTTGAGATTTAATATTCTACTTGTGTGCTTGTAGACCTGCAAAGACCTGTAGACCTGTAATTATCAAGTAAGAATCTTCATGGTTTGTCTTTTTTTTTGGTGTGTTTTCTTTTTATGTACCTTGATTCAGAGAATAAATAACTTGTTTCAGATTTTTGGTCTTCTACTTTATTGCTTTACTTGAATTGATGGATGTACCAATTTTAGTCCTGTTGTTGTGTTGTTGTGATTTTTTTTTTATTCTTATGTTAATCCCCATACATTACATCATTAGTTTTAGATGAAGTGTTCCATGATTCATTGTTTGTGCATAACACCCAGTGCTCCATGCAGAATGTGCCCTCCTCAATACCCACCACCAGGCCAACCCATCCTCCCACCCCCCTCCCCTCTAGAACCCTGTTTGTTTTTCAGAGTCCATCGTCTCTCATGGTTCGTCTACCCCTCCGATTTCCCCTGCTTCATTCTTCCCCTCCCACTACCTTCTTCTTCTTTTTTTTCTTAACATTATTTGTTTCAGAGGTACAGATCTGAGATTCAGCAGTCTTGCACAATTCACAGCGCTTACCAGAGCACATACCCTCCCCAATGTCTATCACCCAGCCACCCCATCCCTCCCACCCCACCCCCCACTCCAGCAACCCTCAGTTTGTTTCCTGCGATTAAGAATTCCTCATATCAGTGAGATCATATGATACATGTCTTTCTCTGTTTGACTTATTTCACTCAACATAATACCCTCCAGTTCCATCCACGTCATTGCAAATGGCAAGATCTCATTCCTTTTGATGGCTGCATAATATTCCATTGTATATATATACCACATCTTCTTTATCCATTCATCTGTCGATGGACATCTTGGCTCTTTCCACAGTTTGACTATTGTGGACATTGCTGCTATAAACATCGGGGTACATGTACCCCTTCGGATCCCTACTTTTGTATCTTTGGGGTAAATACCCAGTAGTGCAATTGCTGGATCATATGGTAGCTCTATTTTCAACTTTTTGAGGAACCTCCATACAGTTTTCCAGAGTGGCTGCACCAGCTTGCATTCCCACCAACAGTGTAGGAGGGTTCCCCTTTCTCCGCATCCCCGCCAACATCTGTTGTTTCCTGACTTGTTAATTTTAGCCATTCTGACTGGTGTGAGGTGGTATCTCATTGAGGTTTTGATTTGGATTTCCCTGATGCCGAGCGATATTGAGCACTTTTTCATGTCTGTTGGCCATTTGGATGTTTTCTTTGGAAAAATGTCTGTTCATGTCTTCTGCCCATTTCTTGATTGGATTCTTTGTTCTTTGGGTGTTGAGTTTGATGAGTTCTTTATAGATTTTGGATACTAGCCCTTTATCTGATATGTCATTTGCAAATATCTTCTCCCATTCTTTCGGTTGTCTTTTGGTTTTGTTGACTGTTTCTTTGCTTTGCAAAAGCTTTTTATCTTGATGAAGTCCCAATAGTTCATTTTTGCCCTTGCTTCCCTTGCCTTTGGCGATGTTTCTAGGAAGAAGTTGCTGCGGCTGAGGTCAAAGAGGTTGCTGCCTGTGTTCTCCTTTAGGATGTTGATGGACTCCTGTCTCACATTGAGGTCTTTCAACCATTTGGAGTCTATTTTTGTGTGTGGTGTAAAGAAATGGTCCAGTTTCATTCTTCTGCATGTGGCTATCCAATTTTCCCAACACCATTTGTTGAAGAGACTGTCTTTGTTCCATTGGACATTCTTTCCTGCTTTGTCGAAGATTAGTTGACCATAGAGTTGAGGGTCCATTTCTGGGCTCTCTATTCTGTTCCATTGATCTATGTGTCTGTTTTTGTGCCAGTACCATGCTGTCTTGATGATGACAGCTTTGTAATAGAGCTTGAAGTCCGGAATTGTGATGCCGCCGGCTTTGCTTTTCTTTTTTAACATTCCTCTGGCTATGCAGGGTCTTTTCTGGTTCCATACAAATTTTAGGATTATTTGTTCCATTTCTTTGAAAAAAGTGGATGGTATTTTGATAGGGATTGCATTGAATGTGTAGATTGCTCTAGGTAGCATTGACATCTTCACAATATTTATTCTTCCAATCCATGAGCATGGAACGTTTTTCCATTTCTTTGTGTCTTCCTCGATTTCTTTCATGAGTATTTTATAGTTTTCTGAGTACAGATCCTTTGTCTCTTTGGTTAGATTTATTCCTAGGTATCTTATGGTTTGGGTGCAATTGTAAATGGGATTGACTCCTTAATTTCTGTTTCTTCGGTCTTGTTGTTGGTGTATAGGAATGCCACTGACTTCTGTGCATTGATTTTATATCCTGCCACTTTACTGAATTCCTGTATGAGTTCTAGCAGTTTTGGGGTGGAGTCTTTGGGGTTTTCCACATAAAGTATCATATCATCTGCAAAGAGTGAGAGTTTGACTTCTTCTTTGCCGATTTGGATGCCTTTGATTTCTTTTTGTTGTCTGATTGCTGTGGCTAGGACTTCCAATACTATGTTGAATAGCAGTGGTGATAGTGGACATCCCTGCCGTGTTCCTGACCTTAGGGGGAAAGGTCTCAGTTTTTCCCCATTGAGAATAATATTTGCTGTAGGTTTTTCATAGATGGCTTTTATGATATTGAGGTATGTACCCTCGATCCCTATACTCTGAAGAGTTTTGATCAAGAAAGGATGCTGTACTTTGTCAAAAGCTTTTTCTGCATCTATTGAGAGGATCATATGATTCTTGTTCTTTCTTTTGTTAATGTATTGTATCACATTGATTGATTTGCGGATGTTGAACCAACCTTGCAGCCCAGGGATAAATCCCACTTGGTCATGGTGAATAATCCTTTTAATGTACTGTTGGATCCTATTGGCTAGTATTTTGGTGAGAATTTTTGCATCCATGTTCATCAGGGATATTGGTCTGTAATTCTCCTTTTTGATGGGGTCTTTGTCTGGTTTTGGGATCAAGGTAATGCTGGCCTCATAAAATGAGTTTGGAAGTTTTCCTTCCGTTTCTATTTTTTGGAACAGTTTCAGAAGAATAGGTATTAATTCTTCTTGAAATGTTTGGTAGAATTCCCCTGGGAAGCCATCTGGCCCTGGGCTTTTGTTTTTTGGGAGATTTTTGATGACTGCTTCAATTTCCTTAGTGGTTATAGGTCTGGTCAGGTTTTCTATTTCATCCTGGTTCAGTTTTGGTCGTTGATACATCTCTAGGAATGCATCCATCTCTTCCAGGTTATCTAATTTGCTGCCATAGAGTTGCTCATAATATGTTCTTATAATTGTTTGTATTTCTTTGGTGTTGGTTGTGATCTCTCCTCTTTCATTCATGATTTTGTTGATTTGGGTCATTTCTCTTTTCTTTTTGATAAGTCTGGCCAGGGGTTTATCAATCTTGTTAATTCTTTCAAAGAACCAGCTCCTAGTTTCGTTGATCTGTTCTACTGTTCTTTTAGTTTCTATTTCATTGATTTCTGCTCTGATCTTTATTATTTCTCTTCTCCTGCTGGGTTTAGGCTTTATTTGCTGTTCTTTGTCCAGCTCCTTTAGGTGTAGGGTTAGGTTGTGTACTTGAGACTTTTCTTGTTTCTTGAGAAAGGCTTGTATTGCTATATGCTTTCCTCTTAGGACTGCCTTTGCTGCATCCCAAAGATTTTGAACAATTGTGTTTTCATTTTCATTGGTTTCCATGTATTTTTTTAATTCTTCTTTAATTTCCTGGTTGACCCATTCATTCTTCAGTAGGATGCTCTTTAGCCTCCATGTATTTGAGTTCTTTCCGACTTTCCTCTTGTGATTGAGTTCTAGTTTCAAAGTATTGTGGTCTGAAAATAGGCAGGGAATGATCCCAATCTTTTGGTACCGCTTGAGACCTGATTTATGACCTAGGATGTGATCTATTCTGGAGAATGTTCCATGGGCACTAGAGAAGAATGTGTATTCCGTTGCTTTGGGGTGGAATGTTCTGAATATGTCTGTGAAGTCCATTTGGTCCAGTGTGTCATTTAAAGTCTTTATTTCCTTGTTGATCTTTTGCTTAGACGATCTGTCCATTTCAGTGAGGGGGATGTTAAAGTCCCCCACTATTATTGTATTGTTGTCGATGTGTTTCTTTGCTTTTGTTATTAATTGCCTTATATAATTGGCTTTTCCCATGTTAGGGGCATAGATATTTACAATTGTTAGATCTTCTTGTTGGATAGATCCTTTAAGTATGATGTTGTGTCCTTCCTCATCTCTTATTACAGTCTTTGGTTTAAAATCTAATTTGTCTGATATAAGGATTGCCACCCCAGCTTTCTTTTGGTGTCCATTAGCATGGTAAATGGTTTTCCACCCCTTCACTTTCAATCTGGGAGTGTCTTTGGTTCTAAAATGAGTCTCTTGCAGACAGCATATCGATGGGTCTTGTTTTTTAATCCAGTCTGTTAGCCTGTGTCTTTTGATTGGGGCATTTAGCCCATTTACATTCAGGGTAACTATTGAAAGATAGGAATTTAGTGCCATTGTATTGCCTGTAAGGTGACTGTTACCGTATATTGTCTGTGTTCCTTTCTGGTCTATGTTGCTTTTAGGCTCTCTCTTTGCTTAGAGGACCCCTTTCAAGATTTCCTGTAGGGCTGGTTTTGTGTTTGCAAATTCCTTTAGTTTTTGTTTGTCCTGGAAGCTTTTTATCTCTCCTTCAATTTTCAGTGACAGCCTAGCTGGATAGAGTATTCTTGGCTGCATATTTTTCTCATTTAGTGCTCTGAATATATCCTGCCAGTCCTTTCTGGCCTGCCAGGTCTCTGTGGATAGGTCTGTTGCCAATCTAATGTTCTACCCTTGTAGGTTACATATCTCTTCTCCCGAGCTGCTTTCAGGATTTTCTCTTTGTCTATGAGACTCGTAAGTTTTACTATTAGATGTCGGGGTGTTGACCTATTTTTATTGATTTCGAGAGGGGTTCTTTGTGCTTCCTGGATTTTCATGCCTGTTTCTTTCCCCAAATTAGGGAAGTTCTCTGCTATAATTTGCTCCATTATACCTTCTGCCCCTCTCTCTCTTTCTTCTTCTTCTGGGATCCCAGTTATTCTAATATTGTTTCGTCTTATGGTATCGCTTATCTCTCGAATTCTGCCCTCGTGATCCAGTAGTTGTTTATCTCTCTTTTTCTCAGCTTCTTTATTTTCCA